TGCCTCCTCCAGCTTGTGTTGTTCCTGTAAGTTAACCATAACTAACCTGCAGCTTTTTGATCATCGGTCAAAGCAGTCCATTACAGCAACACCTTCCTAAAATACTCCGGTAGCTCAAGTTTTACCATCAAAGAACTTGGGCGATTAGTTTAAGAAGGAGACATTAGTTGTCTCTAGATCCTGGTGCTATGGCTTGTTTTTCACAGGAATAACTAAGAGAAGCTGCTTGTTAAGATATTCAGTTAATTAGTCTCTATTCCACCTGTTCTATCACCTGTTTCCACTACAAGATGCTTTTAATTTTCACAGTCACATTCAAAGAAATCCCAAATCAGACTTTACTACTTTCTCCCAACTGTTGTCATTTTGCAGGTGAGCTCTGAGCAGCAGACTGTAAACAGGTGATGTTATGATGTTATCTCAAAACTAACACTAATACTAAGGATATTCTATATTATTTCAGTTAGTTTTGTTTTTCAATTTTATTACGGTTTTTATTTCAGTTAACTAAAATGTTTTTTAATTTCAGTTTTCAATATTTAGTCAGTTTTAGTTTACTATGATAACTGTGGTCTGAACCAGGTCTCACCATGCAGGGGGGGTTCCTGATTCAGGTAGGTGGGGTAGTGTTGGTAGGGGTAGGCAGGGTCAGGGGAGGCGGGGGGGTACACCTGTTGTTGCCAGCAGCTCTGATTGTACCACTGTGGGGGGACAGAGGTCAAAGGTCAGACAGACTGGATCTGACAGAACTGGACTTATGAAGGTGACATGGACCAACCTGAACCCCCAGGTTGAAGTAATACTGGAGGACCCTGCAGTCTGTGGACACACACACACACACACACACACACGTTAGAGAATGTCATCCTCTAAGCCAGGATCTGGTTAAACCGGCTCCTGGTGACCTCTGACCTCGCGGTAAATCGCTGCCATTTGGGTCGTAGGAGTAAGGAGGCGGAGCCACGAAGGAGCCGAGCGGCTCGCRCACATCATTGACCAACCAGGGAGCTGCTGCTGGTATCGCCATGGTAACTGAGGACAGAAAACAACCCGTCAGCCTTCACTGATGCCCCGTCACGTCCTGCCACAGCTCACATGCTTACCTGAGCGTGTCTGCGTGTGAGCGGCAGGTGGCAGGTGGGCCGCTCCGGGCACACGTGACGATGGAGACGAGGGTGAGGAAGAGGACGATGAAGGTGAAGAGCAGATGACAGCCAATGGCTTCACCACCTYTAAAACAACCCAGAACAGGTGATGGGGTGTGTTTCCCTGCAGGTTGTGGTTAAAGTCTCAGGTGTGTTACCTGCTGAGTGTAGCTGTAGCTCAGCTCTGGTCTGCTTGGAGAGTCAGCTGGACCTTTGTCCTGCTCGTCCTGTCACAACAAACCAACTTTTTAAAACTTCATCCAACCTGCAGACTCCCTGCAGCAGGTGGGAGGAGCCATGTGTAAGTTACCTGAGTGGAGGCAGGCTCAGCAGCAGCATAAACAGCTGACGGTTGGTAGCTTTGATCTGAAACGGTTAAAGATTATGTCACTTCCTGTTTCAACAGGAAACGTAGCAGTGGAGTGACTGGCTGGTGATGTTCCCCACCTTTACTCCTGTACAGGTACTCCTCTGTATACTCCGCTACACAAGCACAAATTACACCACACTCAGCTCRGTCTCAAGCTTTTACTTTGAAACTTCAACAGGAAGGGACTTACCCTGGTCCTCCACGGTACTCGTGTCCCCCTGGTCCTCCTCTGAGGAGCAGATGGGCGTGTTTCTAGGTGGAGGTGCTGGAGGGAGGGGCCCCGAGACCCTCTGAACTCTGTAGGAGGAGCCAGAAGTGGGCAGAGGAGCCACAGCAGTGCCCTAGAGGGAAGACATTTAGGAGACAGAAATGATAAATGACGTTTATGATTTATCAAGTTCTGGCCCCTGTCAGACGCCTCTGGCCCCTGTCAGACGCCTCTGGCCCCTGTCAGACGCCTCTGGCCCCTGTCAGACGCCTCTGGCC